GCGGCGGAGGAGAGCACAGGAGGGGAGCGCGGGCGCGGCGAGGGCGGGTCTACCTTGCAGGAGCGCGCAGCACCGGCCGTCCGCCGTGCTCCAGAGTCGGGCCGTGCCGTCCTCGCTGCCCGTCAGCAGGCGCTGCCCGTCGGGGCTCAGGCTCAGCCAGTTGATGCCCCCGCGGTGGTCCGCGCAGACCCTCAGGGCCGACCCGCCGCCCCCCATCCCGCCGGCCCGGGCGGAGGCGAGGCGGATCCGCGCCCCGCTAAGGAGGGACGCCCCGGGGTCCGCGCGGCGGCTCTGTGCGGCGGCGGCCCGAGGCCATCGCGGGGAGCCTGGACACCCGGCTCCTGCGGAGGCACGCGGAGGGGCGAGGGGCCCTCACTCCTCGCCGCCCACCAGCCTCCCGGCCGGCGAGCCGGGCAGGGGACTGCGCTGCGGGGGGCGGCGCGCTCGGGACCCACGCCCCCAGGTGGGGCAGTCCTAGCCGCGAGGGCGCAGACCACCCCTCTTCCCGGCACCGCCTCCGAGGACCCGCACCCCGCCGGCGAGCCGGGCAGCGGCGTCTGGGGGCACACAGGGAGCCCCCGCCTCTTCTCGCCCCTCGGGGCCAGAGCGGGGAGAGAGACCCGGGAAGCCGAGCGCCCCGCGCCCTGCGCGCCCTCCGCGACCGGCGCCGCCGGCGGCCGAGTGCAGAACAATACCGGCCAGCCTGGCTCCTCCTCAGAGACCACCCCTCACCCTGTCCCCTCCCACTTCACCCGCTGCGCTCCAGCCCCCACCCCGCCCTCCCGCAGCCTCCGGGTGCCGCCCCCGCACCGGTCCCCGGGACCGATCCAGATGCCATCCCCCGGCTCCCCGCGCTGCGGCTCCCCGCTCTGCCCGCTGCCACCCGCCCCCGTCCGCAGAGCCGAGGGCCGGGACGAGGGAGGAGGCGGCGGACGGCAGGGTCCGGGTGGAGCAGAAGCGCTGCTCACCCCTACCCGCAGGTCAGGTCCTCCCCGGGCCCCATCCCTAAGGACCTAGTCAGAGGGGCTCCCGGGCACTTGGGAGTGATCCCCCTGACGGAGGGCGCAACCGGTTAAGTTCCGAGTCCGCCCTCGCTGGGAAATCCGAATTCTACAGAGGTCCGGCTCCGGGATGGGGAGGGGGCGGCGCCGTCGCGGGGGTGGGAGGCGGGGCGCGAGCCCAGCGGCGGGAGGTCGGGTTCAGCCGCCGCGGGCTCCGCTGGGCTCGGCGCGCGCCTCTGCCGATCGCAGCGAGGTCTGTGCGGGAATCCCACCCCCCGCCCGAGCGCCGGGCTGCTGGTTTTCATTAGAGCAGTTCCCGGACCGGGCCGACTTCGCTGGGGGGCAGGGAAGTTGACCCCCCAACTCGGATCCTCCAGGTCCTAGAGGCAGCAGGATTTCCCGAACTCTCCAGGGCTCTTGCAAGAATCCGGGGAGGAGGGCAAGGAGCCGGGTGGCTTTGGAGAGCCAGCCCACACCAATACGACCAGACCTTCTCACTCTGTCCAGATTCCAAAAGAAAACCCCATAATCGGGTCCTGCAGGGCATTGGGCCTTTATTTCCCGAGTAGCCTAACCAGAGAAATCCATTCTTTTCCCCGTTTTGCTGAGAGGCTAGTAGGTGGTGGCTGAGGACACTGTTTTATCCCCCACATGCTGATCGTGAGTTCCTCTTGGGACCTGTGAGCTTCAGGGGCCATTGCTGCATCCAGGTGTGAAGACTGATTGGCAGCTGGCCGTACAGGTGTGGCCTCCAGGTGAGGACAGAGGGCAGAGGGAGCTGGGGAGTGTGAGGAGCGAGGAGGCCAGGACAGTTTACCTGGGGAAGACCCAGAGGGGACCCTGATGTTCTGGGGGAGGGGGGAGAGGGTCAGGGAAAAGCAGGCATCTGGTGTCCTGGAAACTAAGAGGGAGGGTCACAGGCTGGGTGGGGTGAACCGGCCGCTCCCTCAAGGAGCTTGCCTGGAGCTGTAAAGAACCATGTAGGAGAAAAGTGTGACTCTCCAGGGGTCACGAACTATTACTGAGCAAGATGGGACCCGTGCCCTCTGTTTCCTCCATCCAGCCACCAACACAGACCCTCTGGCCTAGGTTTAGACCCCGGCGCACAGAGGGTGTGCGGAAGCACCGCCGCCATTGGTCTCTGAGCCCACAGTGCACACAGGCTGATTCTACCAACTTCCTCTTTCCAAGCTGGTAGATGTTTTGTTCTTGTGCTTCCTCCCCCCCATTCCCTCTCCTTGGTTTGGCACAAAGTGGCTCCTTGGTGGGGTGAGCCAGCCTTCTCTGTCTGGAGGGGTGCACGGTACAGATGTTGTCCTCAGCCAGTGTTTCCTCCCTTCTCTTTTACAGGCTGCAGATTACAGACTCTGCTCTGGAAAACCTCCCCAAATTTAACAGGAGCACAAGGAGATGGGAAAGTTGGAAAACAGCACTAATTCCCCTGAAACTGGGGTCTCCCCCACCTCCCCACCTTGAGACAGCAGAGCCTGGGCTCCTACCCACCCTGTCCCCCGACTCCTGTTTATGTCCTTAACGCTTCGAGAGCCTGAGTCCTGTGGTGCCCAGGCCTCTCCTAGATCTCTTCATTTTATAAAAGTGCTAATTTTTTCAAATGGATGGAAGCTTTCTCCATCCTTAAGTTATTTGCAGATTTTGTAAACACTGCATTCCCAAGAGAAGAGCTTGCTACCCCAGGCTCAGGCGATTCAGGAGGAAATGCTAAGCCCCTAAAGGTTTTACACGTGGGGGATGAGAGTGGGTGAGCAAACACATAGGAGGTCTGTCCGGAAAGTATCCAGCTATTGTTAATATAACGAGAATGGTTACATGGCTGGGTACTTTCTGGACAGATCTTGTACTTCAGGAAGATTGTATAGATCTGTGGTCCCCGACCTCTGCCTCCCCAGCTCCACCTCCACCTCCACTACCCCCGCCGCCACCCTACCCCCAATGTGGAAAAATTGTCTTCCATGAAACCCTGGTGCCCAAAAGACTGGGGGACCCAGTATAGATGATCCCCAGCTTAAGACGGTTCAGTTTACAGAGGTTCTACTTTATGATGGTTGGAAAGTGATAGCATTGCGTGAAATGCACCTCGCGAACCCGTACAACCACTGTGTTTTCACCTTCAGTACAGAGTTGAGTAAATTACATTAGGCAGTCAACACTTTAATATAAAGTTGGCTTTGGTGTTAGTTGCTTTTGCTGAACTGTAGGCTAACGTAAGTGTTCAGAGCACATTTAAGCAGGCTAGGCTAAGCTGCGATGTCCGGTAGGTGAAGCGCATTAAGTGCACTTTTGACTTACAATGTTTTCGAGAGAAGGTGAAGATACAGGAAGGGGCAACTGGCGGAGTGAGAGCCCCGAGGCAGGAGAAGAAGAGGGGTCCCAGGTGAAAGGAGAGAGTAGCCTCGAGTGAGAGGCAAGAGCACTCCTGTGACAGAGGGAAAGCGCACCGCGTTTTGTTCTTTGCAGGCAGAGAACGCAGCGTTTCTTTTGGGGGTGAAAATTTCTAATGAAATGCAGTGTTTACAAAATCTGCAAGTAACTTAAGGATGGAGAAAGCTTCTATCCATTTGAAAAAATTAGCACTTTTATAAAACGAAGAGATCTAGGAGAGGCCTGGGTACCACAGGACTCAGGCTCTCGAAGCGTTAAGGACATAAACAGGAGTCGGGGGACAGGGTGGGTAGGAGCCCAGGCTCTAAATGAAAATTTCTAAAATGGACTGGACTCATGGTTGCACGTATCTGTGAATGTGCTAAAAAACCATTGAAAAAACTTTACACGGATCAATTTACAGTATGTGAACTACATCTCAATAAAGATGTTTTTTAAAAACCACACACACACACACACACACACACACACACACACACACACACACACACAATGAAATAGCACCTCACATCCACTAGGATGGCCATAATTTTTAAAATGGAAAATCACAAGTGTTGGCAAGGATGCGGAGACATTGGAACGCTCATATATTCCGTAGGAATGTAAAACGGTGCGGCTGCTTTGGTCAGCAGTTTGGTGGTTGCTCAATAAGGTTAAACACAGGATTACCATATAACCCGGTAATTCTACTCCTAGGTGCATACCCAACAGAATTGAAAACAGGTATTCAAACAAAAATTTGGAAAGGGATGTTCATAGTAGCTCCATTCACAATAGCCAAAAGGTGGAAAAAAAGGTGGAAAGAGCCCCAGTGTCTGTCAAACAGATGAGAAGATAAACAAAATACGAGGCAATATTAGCTACAGAAGGAATGAAGTACTGCTCCATGCATAACGCAGGGGAATCTAGACAACATTACGCTAAGTGAAAGAAGCCAGACACAAAAGGACAAATACCGTATGACTCCATTTGTATGAAATACCCAGCATGGACGCATCCGTGCGGGTGGGAAGCAGACGCGCGGTGGCCAGGAGCTTGGAGCAGGGGACCGGGAGCGACTGCTGTCTGCACACTGGGTTTCCATTTGGGGTGTGAGAAAGTTCTGTAACCAGATGGTGGTGATGGTTGTGTAGCGTTGTGAATGTACTTAATGCCACTGAACTGTTTGCTTTAAAATGGTCATGACAGTAAATTTTGTGGGTATTTTACCACAGGCACATAAAACTTATACTGTGCCATTTTTAAAAAGGCTTTGTGAAGCCCCTATATTATTACTACCATTATCGATGTTTGGAGAACGATGATCAGAGAAGTAAAATTATTAATGTTTGGAGAATAATACGTGGCCATATGGACGCTGTGTGTATACATGTGTTCCAGACTGTCAGTGTGGCCAGAGTCCAGACAGGGATGGGGCCAGCGCTAGACGTTAAGAGAGCCCTGCGGTCTCTGAGCCCCGTAGGCTCTGAGCCTCCAGTCTCCCGGCCCCGCGGCGAGCTGGCCCGCCGGGCTCACGTCTCCCCACAGCTCGCATTGCATACCCGGCACAGCATTCTCTCAACCTGGCTCCAAGGGGTCACTGTCCACTGCAGTCAGGTTCAAATGACAAGGACACAGCCTTAGAAAACCAAATCTGCTCATATTAAGAAAACCTCCCTTGTCCTGGCCACTCCTGGCTGCCGCCTCTAGCTGCTGGCCCCTCGAATGAGGAGCCAGGCCACTTGGAGACTGGCGCTGGGTAGAGACGGAGGTCCAGAGGTGGGACATGCATAGGGTTCTCTGTGGTCCCTTCACATTTGGAACTAGAGTGCCCAGGCCTTTCCTGGGTCTCTGACCAGGGCTGTGTTAGTACGGACAGGGCTGTTCCGTAGAAAGCAAGCCGGCTGGTAAACATCACAGCCCTCCAAATTTTCACTTTATCTCCCCACAGCCTCTTCTGGCAACTTCAGATAAGTGTCAAAGGCTAACTAGACAAAGGGAATGCAGTTTTGAAAAAGCTTTCAAAATTCTCTAGCTTTGATTTCCACTTCTGGCCAAGATGGAGTAATAAGGACCTACTGACCCTCCGACCTCCTATCTGAAACAACCCAAAAACGAACACGCAGAATATATGAAGCAATTGTCTTTAAGACATCCGACATCAGGCGGTGAAGGACAGTAATCCCTGGGAGACAGGAAAAAAATGAGGTGAGCCTGCGATTGGCCCAGTTTACTGCCGTGAGAGAATTTCCAGACCACAGAGCAG